TAGATATAACACAGAAGCTAGACAATGTAAAAACACAGCTCAATCACATATAGCAGTATCCCTTATCTGAGGCTTTACTTTTCATAGTTTCAGTTTCTCTTGGTTTGTAACAATTCTGAAGCATTAAATGGAAAATATCAGAAATATTTAATAAGTTACTTAAACACTTAATAAGTTTTAAGTTGTATGCCATTCTGAGTAGCATGGTGAAATCTTCCACCACCCTACTTTGTCCAACCTGGTATGAAACATCTCTTTATCCAGCATATACACATTGTATGGTATATCTATCCCATTTGTTACTGAGCAGCCATCTTGGTTATCAGATGGACTGACACAGTGTCTCAGTGCTTTTATATAGGGTTTGGTAATAATCAGTAGTGTCAGGCATACACTGAGGATCTTCAAATATGTAGGTATCAGTCATCTTTCCTGTCACTGGAACAAAGTATGGTAGGCTCTTGACTTATGAGCTCAATCAGTTCCCAAGGGCTGGTTGTAACTTAAGTTGGTTGTAACTCAATACAGCTGAGATTTGGATGTTTACAAGGGTGCACACTATCGATAACAAGAGGCAGATGAATCTTCTATTAACCTAAGAAGTCCAGTTGTTCATATGTCAGGCCAATTGTAACTCGAGGGTCCACTATACCCGATACTCTCAACTTAATGGAGAGATTTATTTTTGGCTCACAGTTTCAGAGGTTTCAGTCCTTGGTCAACTTACTTCAAGGCAGGAACATTATGGCAGAGGGTCATGGTAGTGCAAACTCACTTCGTGGCAGCCAGGAAGCAGAGCACAGGGGAAGGGTGCCAGTGAGAAATGCATCCTTCAAAGATATGCCTTCAGTAACCAACTTTTTCTAAATGGGCTCTACTTCCTAACAGCGCATTCAGTTATGAATATCAGTGGATTAATCCACTGATGAATATGTTACCCCATAATTCAATCACATCTCCAAGAGTCTCTCAATTCAGTCAAGTTAACAACTAAGTTTAACTGTCACAGAATATATACCCCCTGGATAGGGAGAGACTAATATAATTTATTACCAAACTAAAATATTAAACATTTACATACTAGTTATGTCCTCAAACCTGAGAAACAGCATTAAAGTGAAATGAAGAATACATTCTGGAGCTAGAACACTACTTGTTACTTATGAATGATGGGCCTTTTAATCCACTAAACAAAATTTTAGAAAACTTAACGGTCTAATTTAAATCCAAGTACCATCCTGAAAAATCCTTAAATTTCTAAAAATCTTTAAATATGTCCATATATTTTTGGAAAGCCCCAAAGATTTTTTGCCTTGGAAAAATTTGGAAACCTTCTGTAGATATTTATAAATAATAAGATAGAACTAAAATATGGTCAGTCTTTAGTATCCCCAGGTCCCACATTCTTGGATTCAAGAAACTTTGGATCAAAATGTTTGGAAAAAAATTGCTTCTGCATTGAACATGTACAGGCTGCTTTTTCATTGTAATTATTTCCTAAATAACACAGTATAACAGCTATTTACATTGTCTTAGGTATTATAAGTCATTTAGAGATTATTTAAAATACATGAGTGGATGATTGTACATAATATGTAAATGTTGTGCCATTTAATATAAGGACTTGAGTATCTAAGAAATTTAGTTTCTGTTGGGGTCCTGGAGTCAATTCCCTTTTGGCAACAAAGGGCAATTATAGTAAATATTTCAGACTTTTTATTAATTCATATTTGTCTTTTCCCTAAAAATGTCTAACTTGCTAAGCAATGTGTGCTAATCCAGCATACATCTTCCAATAAGTCATCCAAGTGTGAGGCCCCGCTTACCTTTCCTATGACATCCATTAATAACTTGAGGGCTCGAGGATCATGAACCAATGAGTCTGTGTAAAAGGATCCGAGGTATTTCTTTGGATCAGTTGGATTGTCCCGGGCACATAGATCTGGGCGCATGTTGAATCCATGGGAGATTCTTCCCACGGTGAAAGGGAAGGCACCACCTGCAAGTAAAACACGTAAGTCAGGAAGAATGTGCATTTAAAAGGATTCCTTTCAGTCTTGGTGTTTCATGTAGAGAGAAGTTGCCATAGCCCAAGTGATGAACGGTCTTTACAAAGGACCTGTTGGATTCCAAATGCTGGGAGATGATACAAAAGAAATGACATAACTCATCTAGAAATTCAGACATGAGAAATTTATCCCAAAGAGAGAAGACAAACATGCAAAGATATATGATCAATGTTTTCAAATGTAATGTGGTCATCATAGCAAAATATCAAGACAGTCTTATCAGTTAAGTGATATCTGAATCATGATGATATTTCCATAAAATGAAATGCTATGCACAATGTCATGAAAAAATGATATAGCTCTGTATTTATTGACATGGAAAGATGTCTTCCCTATGTATTGGGAAGGAAAAGCAGGTTAGAGAATAACAAATATAGCTTGATATTATGTATGTATATGTGTGTGTGTTCAAGAGTCACAATCTCAGTTACCTGCAGGGACCAGGCAAACAATACAGAGGAATGGAGTAGGCTTTTGTAAACAAAGGAGAATGGTAGAGACTGGAGAGCTCTTGGTCTGATTAGAGAGATTGTCATAAAAAATAAAATACAATTAAACAAAAACTAAACTTGCCTATAAAAAATGGAATTTGGTCTTATCAGATGACTAGAATTATGACTGGAAAGTTGTTATAGACTTAATTGTATCCTTCCAGAATTCCTCTGTTCAAGTTCTAACCTCTTATATGAATATATATATCATATATATATTGGTACTGGGGATTGAACTCAGGACCTTGTGCTTGTGAGGCAGGAGGCGGTACCACTGAGCTAATCCCTGGCCCTTATATGACAGACAGTGTATGGAGACAGAGTCTTTGCAGAAGTGATGAAAATTACTTGAGTTTGGAAAGTGGGGCCATAATCAAAGAGGACTGATGTCCTTATAAAAAGAAGAGACACCTGTGCTCTTCCTTTCCTTCCCCTGTTCCCTCTTCCCCTCTCTGCCCATGCAAACACAGAGGAAGGGCCATCTGTGAGCTAGGAAGAAAGTGGTCACTGGAAACCATCTCTGCCAACACTTTGATCTTAGACTTCTAGTCTCCAGAACCACGAGAAAATAAATGTCTGTTGTTTAAGCTGCCTAGTCTGTGGCATTTTGTTACAGCAGGCTAGGCTGATTAATACAAGTAGAATCTTACCTCCATGTGCAAAACATACTTTCAGTTTAGGAAACTTCTCAAACACCCCACCCAAGATCATGGAACAAATAGCCGTGGTGGTCTCTGTAGGCATTCCTGAAAGATAAAATAGTCACAAATTTCAGGCTTGTCCTTTTCACCAAGAAGCAGCTCAGTGACATTATTGGCCAGGGAATAGCAGGTAATAGCTGGGGAATTGCCAGTGCCAATAATCATGGGGCTCCTGTTCTCCAGTATGGTTTGGCTATATACAGGCTATTATTTGGCAAAGAGGGTCATTGGATGCTTCCTATTTGCCATCTGCAAGGAGAATAATGTAGTGGGTAGAACATCTTTTGTCCTAATTCTCCTGACTTTGGTTTTGGATGCAGTGGAGCAAGCAAAGTGTAAGGAGTCTGGGCTGAATATTAACTCTTGTAATTCTCTGCCCCCTGGCCTGTGATAAGTTATTTAATGTTCCTGAGCCTGGGCTTCTTCACCTGTAAGATGAATACAATGTTGCCTATCTTGCAAGACTTTTGTGGAGTTTTGCAAGTAATGACGTTACCAAAGCTCTTGGGAAGAACTTCATGTTGGAGATGCTCAACAAATATTAATTGCCCTCTGTGACTCAGTTTCCTCATCTATAAAATGATTTGTTAATAGCTGGGTCCTGCCAATGGGTTGTTCTGAGGATTCAGCAGATAGCACCTGACGGTTATTGCTCAATAAATATTAACTATTATTGTTATTCCTGCCAAATCATTGCTGTCTCTCAGGGTTAAAATTGAAAATTAGTGGATTAGTGTGAATTATTTCAAGTGCTCTATGCTCCAAGGAGAAGCAGCTGCTCCATTTCTGATGCCTTCACACCCAAGGCACCAGTTTGAGTTGCACTGCCAAATGACTGCTTTTCAGACTGTGACTCAGAGATCTCTGACTGCTCCTCATACACAATCTGTACCTTCTGGGGGCACTATTTTTTGGCTATTGACTGGGGCTATACTGGACACTCATTTTGTCTGTCTCCATAAGCAGAGATGCCCTATCTCTTTAACTTCCTGAGAATTCTGGAAGCATGATGGATTCATATCCATTTGTGAGTGATTCTGGGGCAGAGCTCCCTGATGGGAGGGGGATCGACTTCCTTCTGGACCCGTGATTTTGCTTCTCATTAATTACTTGAAACATATAGCCCCACAATCCATTCTCCATACAAGAGACAAAGTTATATTCACAATGGACTGTGACCCTTCCTCCAATCCACTAACAATCACTTTAGCATTCACAATAAAATTCTGAAATCGGCCTGTTTGTATATGATCAGTGTATTTGATTATCATTCCTTTTCTCTGACTAGAATACAAGCCCCATGGGGACAACAGTTTTGTTCATATCTATATACAGGGCTTGGCATGGTGGAGGAGATCAATATATATCCATTGCATGATTATCAAAGAAATGATAAAATGATTTTATGAAAATACTCGGTTTTTCATGTCAAAAAGTTGTAATTTATAGGGCTAGGGATTTAGCTCAGTGGCGCCTTGACTGCCCCATAGTGCAAGGTCCTGAGTTCGATCCCCAGTACAGCAGAAAAAAAAAGTTGTAATTTATAAATAAGTTTGTGAAAGTTGTCAAAAGTTGTGTGAATTAGGATGAGATTATTTTGGATCTGGACAGCATGGTGCTTTTAAACAACAATTAGTAAGAAAAAATTAGTGGGGATAGGTGAGAACCTGCTTTGTTAAATACTTTGGTTTCCACTAACAATCAGAGGACCATGTAAAATACCGTAGCAGAAAGAAACCATTGGAGGAATCCAGACCAGGTCTCCCATTTACAGATGAGGAACTGGAGCTCAAGGAGGTGAAGCGACTTGCTACATATTATACCATGACATAGAGATTAAGCTGGAACTGAAATTCTGACTGTGATTTCCAATATATTGCTTCATTTGATTCTTCATTTTGGGTAGTTGCCATTTTGATTAATTAATAATTACTAATTGTGCTGGAGAGTGAATGAATGGATGATGACCCCTAAAAAGTCCAACACTTCGTTTAGGGACCCACTTTTCCTTGGGTCTTTAGATGAGGTGCGCTTTTTAGTTGTAGCTCCAGAATTTTACATCATGTGTTCTCCATGTTTCTTTCTTATTGGGCTGCTAATAAGAGTTTGGATAGGACAAATGGAGGTTTCTCCTCTTTCCTTTTCTACCACTCTCATGTGGAACCATGAATTAATAGTGCAGGAAGCAAAGGGCAGAAGAGAGGACCAAATAAGAGAAACATTGAGAGCTTCTACAACTTAAGGCTTCAAGATCTTTAGATGGAGAAGTTGACCTTCTACTTGTAATTCCAATGTTCTCATTTATGACAGCTGATGTAATTTTCATCTTCTAAAAAAGTCTGCTAAACATTGGTACTTTTTTCCTTTTCTTGGAGCCTTTTTGGAAGTTTGTGTAGCAAAGTGCCTTTGCAGTCAGGCAAATCTATGTAAATTCCAGTTTCTTTTATTAACTGTGTAACTTGAATGAGATACCTAACCACTTCAAGACTCAGTTTCTCCATCTGTAGAAAGGTCATTATGTCAGCCTTGTAGATTAAATATATGACTTACTTATCATGTGATTTATTTATAAGCATATTGGATATGATTAAAGTCAAGCAAGGTAATATATATAGTGCCAATCTGAGTAAGAGTTCAATAAATGATAGTTACTATTACTCTCAATCTTGTTAACTTTACTTTCTTTATTTTACATAATGGGGTTCCACAGGTGATTGGAAAAACCCAAAAGTTGGTCCTCTGTTCCAGACCCCAAGCTGACACAAACCTACAAGCCAAGGGAGCCAGTATTTGGCCATTCGTCCATCCATCTGCATGTCCCAGGGATGCACGAACAGGGAACAGTTCAGCCTTTCAGCTGCCTTTGAAGAAGCAAGAAGAGAAGAAGTTTATCTGGATGAACCAACAAATACAAGGTACTCTTTTTGGGAAACTGCTTTTTTTGTCTCTAAGTTTATATTGATTTGGATAAATAAAATACTTTTGAAGTTGTTTTTTTTTTCATTACTGGGAATTGAACTCAGGACCTTGTGCTTGCCAGGCAGACACGGTGCCATTGAGCTAAATCCCTGGCCCTTGAAGTTGTTTTTTGATCTGTGTAAAAGAAACATTAACAAACTGCTCCTGCTTGGAAAATTACAAAGGACATTTAGAATTAATGAAAGGGATTGGTGGATTTACCATTGAGGTTGATAAATTTAATATATTGTTTGGCAAAACAAGTCACAGGAAACATTAATCATGCAAATATTTTGACTGAGGTCAAAATGTTCAAGCACTAATCCCACACTTCAAATTTAGAGGAAGTTTTCCCTGCTGGCTCCTACTTGGCCCACTCTCTGAGAGGGATGATAACCCTGGAATCAGGGTAGCAGTGTTCCTTTCTTTTCTTAGAAACTTGAAGGTGTAGGAAGTGAGGAAATGATGGACTGGGTGCTTGGGTCTTAGGGCGGGGCTGGGACAGGCTGGCCTGACTCAAGCCATCAAGTCAATCAGAGCCCAAACTAGGTGGGAATTTTCTGGGGCCTATAGGCACTCATGTAGCCCCCACAGGCCAGGTGTCCCCAAGCAGTCTGCTGTGAATAAGATGACCTAGGAGGGGAACAACATCTCAATGCCTGAGCCAAGGAAAGAACTAAGAGGAGTGTCATGGGCAAACTTGTTCCAGACTTGTCTTCTGAGAAATGGAAATACCATCTGGATGGAATGACTTTTATTCACCAGGATATTTACTAAGATGAGTCCCTCCAACAAGCATTGAATATTAGTGCTTGCTAAGGTTCAAAAACAGATTTTCCTTAGTACATTTTCTCTCTAATTGTAAGGGTGTTGAACTGAGTCATCTTATCTTCATTCATAAATATTTGTGTTAACTAGGCTGATGCGATGTGACTTGTGTACTTAAGCATTTTTAAAATATAAAAACAATTTTGGACAATAGGAGATTCTGGAAATGGTAGGCAAAGGGTAAATTGAAGACTTCTAACAACAGGTTCTGGGGAGCAGAGAGATATAAGCTTTTTGAAGGAAGAGGGGCTAATTAATTTTTGATAATGGATGCAAGTTACAAAGAGAATACTGACTTCTTGGGATGGTTTGGACTTTGCAAAGGCATATAATCATGGTATCCCATTGGGATTTAATCCTTATTAATATAAAACTTTATTCTATGTGCCTATAATGGTTCATTTCTATTCAGTTCAAATTAATAATTTAAAAATCTCCTATATATGAGATATAATGGAGAACACAAAATCACTTCTCTCAAAAGTATAACATTCACCAAGAACTTAGTATATGCCAAAGCTGTTTTAAGAATTTTGTAATTATTGGGGCTGAGATCATAGCTTAGCGGTAGAGCACTTATCTACCATATTCGAGGATCTGGATTTGATCCCCAGTATCACAAAAAATTACAATTATCAATTACTTCAATTCATCATCTGATGAGCACTCTTATTCCTCTCATTTTACAGAGAAGGAAACTGAGGCAGATGAAGTGAAGCCTAAGTAACTTACTCAGATATTATGGCTGACTAATGGTAGAGCCAGACAATCTGGCACTACCATTTCATCTGCTTCATACTGATAATTTTTGTACCTGAAAAGTACACTCAGGTTCACTCAATAATAAAGGAGGTCTAGGAGAGAACTGGGACACAGTTAGATACTCTGGCCCACCAGGGCTAACTTGAAATGACAAAGTCAGCTTGGCTTTCAGAATTTTCTCTTATTTGTTTGACCATGTTACTAACACAAGCTAGAGAGTATTGAGGCAGGTGAGCTTTGCTGACCAAACAAATGTGCTATTAACCCTGGGACATTACAAGTCAACAGGGGTCAGGATATGCTCCTGAATCCTTCAGAGACTGGTAGTCCCCCAAACAATCTAATTAGAATGATTGCTGGGTCAAGCTTGTCACACAATGAAAATATTTGCGTGGGCCCCAACTGTCTGCTATTGCTAAGACCCTTAGTAATTCATAAACCCAATTCCAATAAATAATAAAATGACTTGTGGCTGAAGTCTTGTTCATACTGTGCTGAAACAACTCGAATACTCAAGTAAATGAATCCTTTTTCAAAGCTCACTAAAGTTTCCAAAAAACATTCATGGCATCAGCCAAGCCGCTGAAGTCAATAAGCTTCAGGAAGTTCAATATTCAGAGGAACATTAAATCTTTCAGGTCATTTAACAGGCAATCCCCAACTGGTGGGCCATCACCATAGATACAAACATAGAAGAATTTTTGCTTGTAATTAGAGCTTAATAAATATCAAATGAATAAATGATAGTAAGTATAGTTCCTAGTGAGTCCACAAACATCTATTTAACTCATCGTTAAGGATTTTGCCTTTACAATGAAAATAATAGAAAACAATACTCTACCATTATAATTCTAAGAAGAAAAGAAGGAATTTAAAAATGCTATTGAGTAAAGAATCATAGATCTTGAATTCTGGTACTAAAGACAGCATTTTTATTTATAGAATGAACAGAAAGAAGAGAAAGGCTAGTGGAGAAGATTATGAAATGACATACTTAAAGTCGGTATTTCATAAATAGATGGCACTAAATTTTTGGAAATATATTTTATTATGAGATAATTTAAATATAGAAAGTATAAACAATAGTATAACAAACATCTATATACTAATTGTCTTGTTTCATCAAATGTTAACATTTTCATGGCATTGTTTTTCATTATATATTTTTGTTATACATTTTCAGAAAAATTGGTTTTAAATGTTTGTTAATTGAGAATTGGTTAAATAAATCATGGCACATTTATACATTATATTATTTTGCGGATATTTAAAATCACACATTAAGGTAATTTTCATTTAGTTTGGAAATTTTTAGGGTATGAAATTGCATGCATAACAATTTCAATTTTGCTGAATATAGATATATGCAAATTTTACAAATGAAATATACTAAACAGTGGTTACCTTTGAGTGACACAATTAAGGGTGGTATTTGTTCATTCCTCTTTATACTTTTCTGTCTTTTCCACAATTTCTTCAAAGTTAGTATTTTTAAAACAATTTAAAAATATTTTTTCCAAAGTAAAAAAAAATTTTTGCATGTCATTAACATGGTTCTTATGCACAATGGTTGTGATGAAGGAGAGATTTCAGTTTCCAAAGGAGAGCAAGGGTGATAGAAAGAAAAGATTTCATCATGGAGTTAACTCAGGGCTGGTCTAGGAAGCATTTGCACCATCCCTCTTCTGTAGAATGGCCCATTCATTTTTTTTTTTTCTGGTACCTGGGATCGAACTCGGGTCCTTGTGCTTTCGAGGCAGGTGCCAGAACCACTGAGCTAAATCCCCGGCCCCATTCATTTTTTTGAAGGAGTTTTGATAGGAGGTTTCCATACCTTCTACCTACTTCTAAAATCATCAGTATCTCTGTCTCCCTCTTCTCCTTACCAGCACCCAAAGCAGTGCTCGGCCCTGGCAAGGTATTCCGTGGTTGTGCGTTGGCTGAGTGACAGCTGTGTACTCACTTCATAGAACTGGAAGAGTTCCTTGTCATTGAGGTCCCATGTGTTGATATGGGAGCCAATCTGGACCCCTGGAAAGCCTAACTCCTTTACACAGCGCTCCATCTCCTTGATGGCCAGCTCTGGAGCTTGCATGGGCAATGTCCCCAGACCCACAAACCTCTGGGGATGGCACACAACTGTGGCAGCCAGGTTGTTGTTTAAAAACTGGCACAGTTCCAAAGTATCCTGAGGTTTGGCCTGGTGGAAAAAGGAAAGGGAAAAATCATACTGTTGAAAACATACTTCTTTAGACAGTTCCTCTGAAAACCTCTTGGATAAAATACTTGTCTTTCTCAATGGCTTTACCACTCAGGCAACTGAGGCACAGCTTGAGAAACACACTGGCTAAAGAACACCCAATCTTTGTAAAAAAGCAAAAGAAACCTGCCAATATACTACTGGTTAATTAGAAAAATTAAGGCTAAAATCTATCATTGAGCCTTTTATCTTGATTACTGGACCATTCTATTCTAGAAATAGAATGAGGATGGCTCCCCAGGGAGGAGACTTGGTCTCGCCCAGTGTCTGAAGCCACAATCAAGGCACTTTTTTGTCACTCCTGTTCAAGGGATACCAGGCCTATTCAGGGACCTCTCTTTTCCTACTTGTCCTCTCCATTCTTTCTGATGGCTGTGGCATTCAGGACTGGCCTTAGCAAAACACAGAGCCAGATGAAGTTTGCTTTTCATTCTTTTAACTCTCCCTTCTTCACTGTTTTCCCTTCAACATCACTCTACTGCTAGGAATTTGGAATCCAAGTTGTTTTGTCAAAGTGATTTGATAAGATCAGGCATACTGAAGTTTTAAGTAGTGAATCTAATCACAGGAACAGAGAAAAACTGAATCTCTAATAGTTGATCTATGAATACAGGTGGGAGAAGTATGGGTGAGTGGCTGGTTTTTCATTACTTCTTAAATCACAGCAGGAGTAAGTGTGCATGTACTTCATGCATCCCCAGCTCTGTAAAAAAATTTCCCACCACAGGCTGAAAATCATGAGTGTTTGAGATTTATTCACATTTGGGAAGGTATCCAACTCTAAAACACTCCTTTTAAATTGTATATTTATCTGGAAGAGGCAACATATTAGATCAAAATCATCTTAACTCAAAACATTCTTACCTCTGAATAAATTGTCTTGTCAGTTCCCCATCAAGGTATCTCAGGAACGAAACACCAGACAGGCAAGTTCTAGGGGTGTTAAGGCTGAGTCTAGAATTGTACTGTCCAACTATAATGCAAGTAGCATAGTGACATATTGGGTACTCTATTAGATCAAGGACATGGCTAAAATAACAGGCCTGGGAGAGGATACTGCTGATCTCTAAAGGGGAGGGTGGTTTGGGAGAGGGCATGGGCTTGATCCACCTGTTGGGCAGCTGGACCTGAGCCCCCACTACCAAGGAGATGGCTTGAGATTTCATACTCACCCAGTAGCTAAACATGATGGGAACTGTGGATAGAGCTTGTACTGTTACTCCTAGACACAAAGAAAGGCAAAGCTGGTGAGAATTGCCCAGGCACCCCTTCTGCCTTTCCCAGGGCCAAAAAGTCAGCAAGCCCCCACCCTAGCCACCTTCTGCCCACCCTCCCTTGTTATTCCTCCCCATGCTCCTTGTCCCAGGTCCTCTCCCAGGCCTCCCTCATCACTCAGCCTCAGGTCTTTGGGAGAGAGGTGAAGGTTGGACAAAACTGAGATCATTCAAGAAAAACAAGCTGACTCTATTTGCCAAGTATTTCTTCCATCCTTTTTCCTGTGAAATTTTATTTAAGCAATGCATTTCTTTTTACCACACCCCTGCCCTGAGTTTTCTACCTTAGGTCATGCAGGACACAGTATATTTCTTAGCCCCCTCCCCTGCCCCGTTTCAGTTCCTAAATCAGCCTGGATGGAGTCTCATGCTCTGGAATACCCAGAATGGGATCCTGAATTTGGATTCAGAATCTAGGATATCAAGAATCTCTTGTTTTTAGGAGAATCTACCTTCTGTAATTGTTGTAAAGATTAAATAAAATTAATGCATGTTGAATACTTACAACAGCACATAATACAAATTCAATGCTCAGTAAGAATTAGTCATGACTGCTCTCTCAAGGACAGCTATGGAATTAAACACAGAACAACAACCAAAAGAGAGTCATGTACTTCCATCTATACTGTAGCCATAAATAATGATATCTGACATCAGTCAGCCAAGTTTCATTTGCACTGTTTTTTTTCTTTTAAAAAGTGGGCCCTCTTCTTGCTTTGTATTGATAGCAAAGCCTTGCTTTTTACTGTAAATCTAGGAAACATGTTTTTCTCCAGCTTCCCTCTCATCCCAGTAGTCTCTTAAAATAGGGGTATATACTACATTCTCTGGAGTAGTCTACAGAAGTGCTTAAGGCTTTCTTCATAGTTTCATCTGAGTGCCACTTAGATATGTTTTTAATTGTTAAAAATATATAAAGCAATTCCTGGATAAAAGCACCCTACAGCATTCTAACACTCCAGAGACCACCTACTCATTTTGGGCTGCCACAATTGATTCCTTTTTTTTTTTTTTCTTTTTTGCAGACCTTGGAATAAAATTAAAGTCTCCTGGCATTTCTGTACATTTATCTGAACTTCTTATACATTTGTTTTTGACACTATATATGAATTGCTTGTTTTGATTCAAATCTAGACCACTGATGTCAAAATTTTGGCTTGACAATGTCAGTGGTGGCAAGTTCCTCATGACAGCCTGTAGGCACTGCTGACTTGTGTTTGGAAGGCTTGACTTATTTCCTTAGAGTGTGCTTTCTTCAGGTGGCAAAGCAGTGAGCGATAGTATAAAATGGGTATAATATCAAATTTTAGTGTTTGAAATTGTTTTATATTGTGAGGACTTGTTTGCTTTTTTAGACATTAGATAAGGAATGCAAGCAGTTCTTAGAAATTGTTAGAAATTGAACTTTGAAAGAAAAATTTCTTAATTTTCTTTTTTCTGGGTTTTCATCACGGAGTATTCTGAGATTATCTGTTAACTTTAAATTTTTAAAATCTTATTCCATCTCCACTTTTATGTGTCAATGGATGTGTTTTGTGTATTTAGTACACCAAGACAAACTACAGAAATTGACTCTCAAGTCTGACTAAACAGGCTGTTGCCATGGATCCTTAATCTATGATCTCTAATTTTACTATTTTAATTGGTTCTCTGATAAGTTGGTACTATACATTTGAGCTAAAAAATACTTTAAATAATAAAATGCCACTACTAAATTTTTGGTTATATACCACTCTGTTTTTAAACAAGGTGTAATTAATTGTGATGTGTTAACCTGACTTGAATAAGAACTCTCTAGATTAGTAAATCTCTCTCTCTCTCTCTCTCTCTCTCTCTCTCTCTCTCTCTCCATGTGTGTGTATGTGTAGATGTGGGTGTCACCAACCAATAAACTTGTAGCCTATGCAGAATAAAAAGGTAACAAAGAAGAAGGAAGTTTTCCCTTTTTCTTCTTGGAATGAGCTGTGGTCTTTGCCTTGCCTTTGAATGTTTGTCTCCTGTTCCTTCAGGTTTTCAGTACAGATTCTTCAGCCTTCCAATTCAGACCCCTTTGGCTTTCTGATAGGACTTGCCCTGGACTCTGCAGTGAGCTCCAGGCCTTTGACCTTCAACTGGATCCTCTGGCTGTCCGGTATGCAGATAGCCATTTTGCATTCTCCTACCCCAGACTCTGCAGGTGGCCATTGTAAGCCTACCTAGCAAATCCTTATATAATCATATTAAATCTGTTCATGTAGTGAACTATACCTGATGTAGATTTTGATACCAGGAATGGGGTCAGGGAGGCTTTCACCCAGATTTCAGAGGAAGGGCTTAGAGGCCAGACAGTGTGCCTGTGAGAGGGCAGTATGTGAAGCTGTGAGAATGAAGCCAAAAGTGCAGTAGAGACCCTGAAAAGTCAGAGAAGCCAGGGATGTGGAGCCTCTGATGAAAACTGCATAGAAGGAGCAAATTCAGCTCAAGAGAAAAGCCATAAGGTCTGCAATCAGAGGCAATGCTGCAGAGGCACAGTAGCACAAGCCCTTTGTAGTCCACATCTCACTGCAGCTTACCCTGGGTGTTGGATGCAGAGCTACAGGATTTAATATTTGCCCTGCTAGGTTTCAGTTTTCCTTTGGTCCAGTTGGTTTCTAGCTCCCTATTCCTTCCTTTTGGAATGGGAATGTTTACCCTGTTTCTTTGTATTTTGGCAGTGTTTAACTTTCTTTTTGATTTTTATAGGCAATCACAGCTAAGAGTTTGCCTTGAGTCTCAGAGGAGACTTTCTTTGGACTTGAACTTTTCAGCAATGCTGAAACTATTAAGACTTTGCCAATTCTCAGAGATGGATTAAATATATTTTGCAAAAAGAAATATATATGAGTCTTTGGGGAATCAAGGATGGAAGGGTATGGTTTCTAGATGTTACCCTAAAGCCTCATATGATCATAAGCAGGGCTTTTTGTGAGGTGATTGGAGTGTGGTGCACTATACTCATTGGTGGATTAATTCACTAATGAGTTTATAGCTAAATGTGCTGCTAGGAGGTGGGTCCTGGTCAAAAGTGGTGAGTTACTGGGGGCATAGCCTGGAAGGGTATAACTCCCTCCCTTGGTTCTCCTTTTGTTCCTTCTGCTTCCCTGCTGCCATGATGTGAGGCACTTTCCTCCACTATGACCATCTGCCATGCTGTCCTGCCCTTGGAGCTTCCTGACCATGGACTCTAAATATGAGCCAAAATAAACCTTTCCTTTAAGTTGTGGGTGTCAGGTATTGTCTTAGCAATAAGAAAGCAACTAAGACACAGGGTACAAGGAATCTTAGAGCATTTAAAATCCACAGTCTAAAGCATTGTAACGGAAAATCCCCCCTTTCCTAGTACAGCTGGAATAGCTGGACCTGACAGAGAAAAGGCAATTGGAAGTTGTCATCAGATAAATCATGCCAAATGGTAAACAAACTTTAAAGATAGACATTGCTTTTAAGTCATATGTAAACCTGGTAGCATTTCTTATTGCAAATACCTTTCTGATCCATTTCTTTAATACGAATTTCTGGATCCCAGCAGTTCTCTTGGACAACTCTGAAGACTTTCCCATCTTTTACCATCTTTGCTTCTCCCTGCGTAGAAAACCCATATTAGTAAAAGGATGCCTGAATCTACTTGGGGTAATCTTTCTTTGTATGCTTTGAAACATATTTCTCCTCTAACATTTTTGGAAAAAAATTTTTTTACTTAATTCACATAGCCATAGAAATCTACTCATTTAAAGGAATTCATCTTTTCTTCCTCATGCCTTTCTTTGGTCTGGAGTTGAGGGAATGTGCTCTGTGGGTGTCAGTGACTGAACAGAAAGATAACAATGTCATGGTCATAACTTTTCTGGCCTGCATGACCAAGGATGGATGATCCCTTTGATGATCTGAACCACTGGTTATAAAATCCAAGAGGATGGCCCAGGGTTTAGAAAATTTTAATTCTATAACATTTTAGAATTGGAAAGAACCTTTGAGATAGACCATTGTCTAACCCTCTTCTTCAGAAGCAATATATGGAGAGTGAAAGTAAGTGGTTTGTTAAGCAAAGCAAGGCCCACTGATGTCAACACATATAGGAGAAGAGGGAGATGAAATGAATTAGACTGAAAGTATGTAAAGAATTTAGTGCTGAGTGGCTCACTTCCACCAGGCATCATGCCTGCCTAAGTACCCTACCTCTTAAAAAGTTGTGTATTTTGGGGCCAGGGATTTAGCTCAGTGGTTCTGCCACCTGCCTTGCAAGTGCAAGGTCCTGAGTTCAATCCCCGGTACCGAAAAAAAAAAAGTTGTGTATTTTTAAACTAATACATAACATTTTATATATTTTGGTTTATAACATGATGTTTTAACATATGCATGCTTTGTAGAATAGCTAAATGAAATTAACGTATCAATTGCTTTTTTGAAGTAAGAATACTTAAAATCTATTAGTAATTTTCAAGTATATATTATTGCTAACTATAGATTTTTTGAACTTATTTCTCCTAATTGAAATTTTTTATCCTTTGACATTTTCCTCAGTCTCTTCTCATTCCCCCCTCTCACCCCCATTCAATCCCTGGTAACCACCATTTTGCTAGCTGCTTTTGAGTTTGACTTTCTTTAGATCCACATATAAGTTCATGTTGCATTTGCCTTTCTGTGCCTGGGTTATTTTAGTTAACATAATAAGCTCAGGTTTATTCAGGACGTTGTTGCAAATGATGGGATTGATGAGATTTCTTTCTTTCTTTTTTTTTTCCGGTACTGGGAATTGAGCTCAGGACCTTGTACTTGCTGGGCAGGCACAGTGCCACTGAGTTAAGTTCCTGGCCCTCCTTTTTTTCTTTTTCAAGGGGAATATTGTTGCAATTAACAAGAGAGAGCAATTTCTCTTCAATATACTGATTTCATTTCCTTTGAATATATACTCAGAAGAGCAATTGCTGGCTCATATGGTAATTCTATTTAATATTTTTTAGGAAACCATATGACCATATCAATAGATGCATAAAAAGCACTTGACAAATTTCAACAACCATTCATGATAAAAATTTTCAATAGATGAGATATAGAGTGTATGTACCTCAACATAATAAAGTTCATGAATTACAATCCCACAGTTAAAGTCATACTTCGTGAAAAGTTGAAAGCTTTTCTTCTAAGATTAGAAACAAGACAAGATCGCTAACTTTTGCTACTTCTATTCAACATAGTACTAAAGGTTTTAGCTAAAGCAATTAGTCAAAAAAATAAAAAGTATGTAATAGGAAAGGAGCAAGAAAAATTGTCTTTATTTGTAGAAGATGGGAAAACGACAAGGACTCCCAAAAATACTATTATAACTAATAAAAAAATTGAATAAAGTTGCAAGATATAGTATCAACACAAAGATCAGCAACAGTTGGATTGATTTGCCTCATTTGTGGTCCTCTGTTAATGCCAGCATCTGAACCATTTTCCTAGTTTGGGGAGTCTCCTGCAGGAATCTTGAAGGGGCCTAGATTCCCTCTACAAAGCCTCCAAACCCAAATACTTGTTCTCTTTGCTTCAAATTTGGCTAGTCAATGCTTGGTTTAAAACAAGATAAAAAAGACAGGACAGGTGAATTTATTCTGCCAGTGATTTTGAGAGTGGCATGTCCAGTGTCCATTAGCAGCAGTGGTAATGTTGAGAGTCTAGTGGGGGCCAGTGGTGCTCTAGTCAGGCTCCTACTGTGGGGCAGCCATGGTTGTGACTTCAATCCCCTTATTTACTTCAGTTTCTGCACACGTTATGAGCTTGGTGCCCTGGACATTTTATGAAATTTGAGAGACTTAAAATACTTTCAACAAATTTGTTTCTTCTTAAACTAATTATTATTGGTTTCTGTTGGTTGTGACCATGAGTCTTGACTGATACTGAACCCACAAATAGAAAATAGCAACACATATCTTTCCATTTGTCAAAGAAGAGAGTTAAGAACAGTGATGGTGGAAAAGAAAAAAATTTGGAAGCACACTTTCATTTAGCAAATGAGAGGTTTTCTTTTGCTCTTTACTGGCATGTGCCCTAAGCACTGCTGGAGAGACCCATTTGTGGCTTTGGTTTGGAAGTGAGCAGTGCGAAGGAGCAAAGCTTCCCAATAGACAAAGGTATTGTGTGAGATGCCTAAGTACTGATTTCAGATAAAGCAGATCATATTAAACCCAGTATATGATCAGTTTAATGCTTACATTTTAGCAGTCCATGATATACAGTGACTTGTCCAAGGCTATATATTAGAAGCCATTTTCAACTCTACCAGCTGATATTTGGCAATTAAGTATATTTGGTAGGCAAAAGTTAATTATTATAATTTCATAAGGAGTTTGATTTTTTATACAATAGGAGAATCAGATTCAATAAACTTCTCTTTCTCTACATTTTTAAGTTAACAGTATGGTAAGAAAAATGAGTAGGAGCAGCTGTCGGTGGAACTTAGTGAAAAATTCCCATAGAGCAGTTATGGCCTATAATTGACTTCCCACAATTCTCATTGTTTGTTCAGCCACAATTTTGGGCCTGACGGTCATTGTTTTTTGTTTTGTTTATTTGTTTTTGTTTTCTGAGACAGGGTCTTTCTATGTAGTTTAGGCTGGCCTTGAACTCACTATTTAGATCGAGTTGGCCTTGAATTTGTGGCAATCCCCCTGCCTCAGCCTCCTGATTGCTGGTATTACAGGCGTATGCCACCACACTCAGCTCTGACAGCCATTGTAAAGAATCAATTCCTGGTCCTCCTTACTTTACATTCAGGATCCCAGAGTCTTTACAAGGTGATAAATGTGCTTCACGGATCAGTACTTGATGCTAGGGGAGGAAAGAAGGGGTTTCTAGTCCTGTTATTTCACATTGATCTCAAAATCAACAAAGACCTTAAACTAAGCTAATGACTAAGTAATTGGAGCAAACTGCCCTAACTTATGCCACCAGACTCCAGTCCTATTTTTCTAAGCTCTCAAAACTCAACTTTTTAGTTAAAGAATTTCCTCAGGCCAAGGCAAACAACTATCTCAAAATTGATTCCAAAAGCACTGAAAAACCAAATGTTTAAAAGAAACAAATAGATCAAACCAGGGAAATGGTTTGGAAAAACATCTTTCGGAGAACAAGAATCTCTAAGGTAAACTAATCACTAGAGAAGAAGATATTTGTTCATTAAAGGAATGTAGAAGATTAAAAAGAATTTTAAAATCCCAAATTTTGGGTCATCTCATTGCTCCTGGTTAATTTGCATAACAGTACACATTTGCATGTTGTTTTCTAGTGACTGTAATTCCTGACTTCTGTAATTATGAAAAGTACAGATTTGGGTGGGTTTTGTTTCACTTAGCTTTATGAGTGGGAAAGAAAGTGTCTCTGTTTTGTTCTATTAGACTACCATTGTAATCAATTTTGTTGGAGATAAGTAAATCAGTAAATGTGATTGGAAACTGTTTTTCTTTTTGTTTGCTTTTGGAGATTTTCTGTTAAGTTTATGAAATATCTTTGCATTGTGTGAAATGAAGGCCATTCATATTCACTATTGAGGGACAAACTTTGGCCTGAGATATGGAGTAAGAAAAAAAATCAGAGGGCAGCTGTTTCTGCAATTGCAGTTTTCTGATAGATTTGTAGTCAGTTCCACTCCTAATGTACTTTTCCTTGAAGAGACTTGAGGCCAACTGAAAGAATGAGCTCTCTAGTTAGAAACCAACACTGGGAATGCAAGAAGCTGGCACTTAAGAGTACACTCTTGGAGAATGTGAAGATGAGCTTTCCCCAAGATTCTGATGTTTAAAACTCTTTAATGATTCCCTATTGCCTTCAAGATCAAGTATAAAAGCCAAATTTCATTTTGGGCCTAAGCTCCTAAATCCTTTAAGTCCCTGCCTCATGAGGCTTATGCTTACCTCCTCAGCTCCTTTCCATAATTTGTTCTCCAAAATGTTGCCTGCCTCTGTACATACTCCACAGAGAAAACTGGTCATTTAAAACCATAAAGACCTTCCAAAGAATTTGCATTGCTTGGAGATTGCAATCCAGACTCCTAGCATGTCCCACAAATGTGGTTGGACCCATTTCCTACCCTCTCCCCTTCTCACTGCATTTCATCCACATTGCTCTCCTTTCTTGCTCCTTGAACACATTGACTCTTTGCTTCTTGATGGCCTTTGCAACTGGCTGTTCCCTCAGCCAGGAACATTTTCAAGGTTTTCCCTGCTTGTCATTCATGTATGTGCCACATCAGTAACCGAACAGCCTGTTACTCTCTGTAGCAGCAGTTTTTTCTTTTCCATTTGTTTTTTTTTTGTTTTTTTTTTTGGTGCCGGGGATTGAACTCAGGTCCTTGCACTTGCGAAGCAGGCAGCAGAACCACTGAGCTAAATCCCCAGCCCCTTTTCCATTTAGTTTTATTGGTACATTTGAGGTATACAATACAGTTACATTCATCATTGGGATCTTGTACCCTTACATGATGTATCTTGGTTCTTATTTTTTTCCCCATTCCCCTGCCCTCCCTTCACCCCCTCACCCTTCCCTATTTACAAAGACTTTGTTTCCATGTTTTTGCTTTTCTCATATTTTTTCTTTTCTCTTCTTTCCTTTCCACTACCCCTCCCACTTCCCCTACTCCTTTAGACATTTTCTTCCTATTTTGTTTGAATTAATCATTGGCTTGGGTTCCATCTAGAATTTGAGCACCATGAAGGTAGGAACAATCACTCCATTGTTTACCAGCATATTTCTAGTGTCTGGATGGGTGGACCTGGTACAAAACAGATTTCATTAGGGCCAGAGATTTAGCTCAGTAGTGCCACCACCTGACTTGCAAGCATAAGGTCTTGAATTTTATCCCTGGTACCAACTCCCCCCCACCCCCAAACAGATTTCATTAAAAACAAATGAATGAATGAATGTATTTGCCATGAGTTCTCACATTTAAGTTTGCTAAGACAGATAGCTGTCTCCACCCTCAGATTTGGTAGCTCTGGGGTATGGCCCCCAAATCTGCATTTCTCCCAAGTTCCCAGGTGATATTGAGCCTATAGGGACCACAGTTTGAGAAATGCTAGTGCCAGCCATAGCTGGGTGCCTGAGTTCTGGGGTCACATATAGTTAGTATTTCTATGCTTTTGTTCCCTGTCTTCTTTTTCTGGAACACTGTTTTCTTTACTTCTTGGGTAAGCCTCCAGCCCTGCTTCAAGACTCAAGATAGGCATCACTTTCTCCAGGAGATCTTTTCTAATTCTTGATGCTCAAGTCTTTGCTCCTTAGTGCGTAGTTCAAAGGCAGTCCTCATCTCATTCTAACCTTACAACTACATTGGGTTAATCTTGCACATAATTGTTTTCCCAGATCATGAATCCCCCAGGGCCTACCTTAGTCATGTCTATATTTCAGCTTGAAGCTCTAGAATGTTTCCTTTGAATTCCAAGAGGGTTCTCTGAAAACAAAGCCAAACTTGAACTCTGTACAGGTTTAGATTCCCAGATCACTTATTAGAGTTCATTATTTGCAGAATGCTTTGCCCCAATGCCTTCCTCTTTGGCATCAAAATCAGCCAGAATATCAGTGGCTTTTCCCTTTTGTCTCCAGTGTTTGATTTCTCTAGCTTGTGCTCAAACCTAATTGTTCCATTTATTTTATCAGCCTTAATACACTGTAATAATCTGTGCAGAGGGCCAGGTCAGTTCCTTGTGGTAGAGAAATAAATGCTAAAATTGGTTCCAGGGCAGAAAAAAAAAGATTTCTTAATGGATTCTCAAATACCAATTTTATCTTCCTAAATGCTGCTCTTTGAAGTCACTCCCCGCTTTTTCTAATAATTCTGAGCAGTTCTGCTCTCTTGCCAACTACACAGTTAATGCAGGACAGAAGAGTTAAGTTCCCTTGAGGCACACTCTGCAGTAAGATATCTCAAGGCTAAGGATGTCCTTGGGTCCCACTATGCTCACACTTTGGGAGAAACTTACCTTGCTATGGTGTTGAAGCTTTACCCAACCTCCATAGCCGAATCTCTGCAGTGGAGAGATGCACAGTTAGACTTACGGAGCAAAGAAGAAAGGATTGCAATAAATGGGCTTCTTCAGGGAAAAGGATATTTTTAGGCATCCATCCCATCCTTTCAGGCGTCATCCTCCCACTTGTCCCCTTGAGCCACATATTGCTTATTCAGTATTTATACTTAGATCAATTTACTCTTTTCCATATATGTATTTATGCAAAAATATACACATAATTATATATTTATAAATGTATATATGTATTTATGCACAAAGTACATTCTATATATCAGAAGTACCAGTTTCATCTCTTCTCCTCCCACAGTTTGAAATTTTAAGGTGAAGATTAGCATTAAAATATATTTGTTTATGGACCACCTATAATCATTTCACAGGCCACCATGAGTACATAGAACTTAAATCACCCTCTATGAATAAATACTGCTCTTCAAACTGTGGGCTGCCGTCCATGAGTACATCATGAAATTAATTGAGTGGATAGGGACCTAGACATTTTCGGATAGCGCTAGTGTCCTATTCATATTTCTTCCCTTTAATGCTTCAGGACACGCCAGCCCATCTCCACCTGCCAGCATCTGCTTCTGAGGGCTTCTCTTACATCCCTGGAAACTTCTTTGATCAAATCCTAGATGAGAAGTACCAGGAAATTAGACTTCCCTCTCCACCTGCCCAGCAGCCCTCAACCAATGACTGAGGTAGTTTGTATACATATACACTAAATACTCTGGTATCACACTCTTGGGCAGGATAACTCAGGCAAGGAGCACATTCTACACTCAATAACAAACCTGTCATTGACTGTCTTTCTTTCCCTGCCCCACTTCTCCACTCATTGGCATTTCCTTGGATCATTTCCAAAGGAGGATTCAAACTACCCACATTTGAATCCTTGTCTCAGTCTTACTTCTTGGAAAATGCAAACAAAGATAAGAAAAAAAATGGAGGCTGGGGATTTAGCTCAGTGGTTCCGCCGCCTGCCTTGCAAGCATAAGGACCCAAATTCGATCCCCGGTACAAAAACAAAAAACAAAAAAACAAAACAAAGAAAAAAAATGGAAAGGAAAAGATAGAATTAGGATAGAACAGGATAGAATGGAATAAAATGGGAAGTCTTCCATGTAATATTAGTTCCACAAAAATTTTTGCCATATATATATATATATGGAAATGTTTGTACTGAATCATAATATAAATATATTTCTTCCCGGGAGTCATGGATAAAAATTTCTGAAAGCCACTGCCTAAAAACATGTCATCTATTACTCATATAACTTCAGGTTTTAAAATATCATTTCATTCATCCCTTCATTCATTCCCCAAGCCCTCATGGAGTCTCATTTGTGAAAAGCCTTCCTAGGGCAGGGAAAATTAAAGTGAAGGACAGTTCCAGGCTATGTAGGGCAGGGTCTTTTGCGCTTGGGGTTGTGATGGACAAACAGTGCAAGAGCTGCCTGGTAAGTGAGACCTGCTATTATAGTCCTCCAAAAGATCTGTGGAAACCTGGTGGAGGGAGCTGATCCACACCTTGGGTCAGTTTGTGTCATAGGAGGAAGGTTGAAAAGGTAGTCTAGGATCGTATTGGAGAGGAATTTCTCATGTTCAGGATTTCTATGTCTTAATGAGTGGCTCTCAGAGCATGATGTAAGGAGGGAAGGTGTGGAAGCAGGAAATACCTAGGTGAAGGAGTTCATCACTAGCTCTTAAACCTTCAGCAGTAGAAGTAAATGATCTAAGTAAGCTGAATTTCAGCACCATTTCTCACTTATAATTGGATAAGTCCAGGTGACAGTGGTTGGTTCTGATGTCATGGTGTAGAGATGTTGCCTAGAGGGAGACAGATCCTGGCAAATTGCTCTTCCTAGCTTCCTTCTCACCTCCAGGCTAAATGGGAAAGTCTGGATCTGGACCTCAGTGCGGTATAGGGGTTTTTGTCTGTGTCTGTGACTGGAATCTGCCTCAACAGGTTTTTTAAATGCATATTAGTTCTATTCCAATCTTATTTTACCTAGATATAAGATCTATCTTTGAGTTCTATCTTCAAATAGTATTAGCTATAGAAATCTATGTGCTTTCTGCCTAGTGACATTTGCAGACTCTGTTTAATGACCTGGCATGCAAAAGAAGCTGTCAGCTGGGGCCAGTTCTCCCTGCCTCCAATTTCTCCTTAGCCAGTGCCCTGATACTTTACTATCTTCTCTTTAAGCATTCAAAACCCTTATACTTAGCTCTTCTCTTCCCCTGGAAAAAGCTACCAAGAGACATATGTCGAAGGAAAGGGTGGAAAATGACCTTAATCAATTACATTTTAGAATAAATTTGAGACTAACTGTATGCTCTCAAGTTGAAAATTTGCTATTAAAATATTATAGTCAGGGCTGGGGATTTAGCTCAGTGGTTCCAGTGCCTGACTTGTAAGCACAAGATCCTGAGTTCGATCCCCAGTACCAAAAAAAAAAAAATTATAGTTAGTATAAAGGAAAAGGTTTTATTTCCTTCTTTCCTCCTCTCCTGTTTTCTTTCATTCATTCCTCTGTTCCCTTCTTCCTCACTTTTTTACTGTTTCTTAATTCTGTAAATAACTTTAAGTCATATGGGAAGAATTTTATTTGGGTAAGGATGGGGAGATAGAGGGAAAAAGAGCAGAGGGGTTCTGACACATGCAAAAATCACTTTTAGGGATCTGGCTTTGTTGGAGTAATTTAACGTTTTCAAATCGCTATTTCCTTATGTGTAAAATGAAGCTAACTGGAATAGCTGAAACAGTATTATGGGGAATTAATTGATATAATGAATATAAAGCTACTGACACAAAGCCTGGCTTATAGAAAAGGCTTTATCAATGCTAATGATACTAATGGTGATGGTGACAGGGTTAGAGATGGTGTTGGTAGCAGTGGTAATGACAGTGGCAAAGGGAGTGAGGTGGTAGAAGTAGTGGACATGGTCGTCAGTATTTGGTGGTATTTGGCAGTACCATTGATGGTGATGATGGTGTTGTGGCAGCAGTTTCCACAGCAGTGATGATGGCAGCAGCACTGGTAGTAGTGAGGGGTGGTAATGTGTGTCAGACAGTGACAGTCATGTGACAGCCTTACCGTACCCCTTGGTGGAGTACCCTGGGGTCAGACACTAAGGAGACCTATGAAGGAAGGAACTTTCCTCTCCTTTTCCTGAAAAGATTTGTATTTATTATTTCACAGGCCACTTGCAACAACCCAATGTTGCAACTCATTCTACTCTAGCTTTGGGCTCCATATAGTCCCCCAGCTGTCATCCTGGCTTGAGCCAAAACTTGGGTCTCAAATCTATGGCCCTAAGAGTGGTTTATTCTGATCCTATGCCTGGAGACATACAGTCTGATAGTGTTTTAACTGAGAATTACTAGTATCCCATAGGCATTTATGGCATGACAAATGAAAAGCAAATTTTAAAAATTCAATGAAATTTAGTTTTATATACAAGAGTATGTTTCTGATATGGATACGTATGAGTCAGAGTGGATGAATTCAATGGCTTTCTTTTTGCTAGCATCAGATTTATTTATTTATACACTTGTTTTTGACAAAGTCTAGGTATGTTGCCCAGGATGGCCCCAAACTCCTGGGCTCAGTTGATCCTCCTGAGTAGCTAGGACTACAGATTCCTGCTACAGTGCCCAGCTCTTGAATGTTTGCAGTGTCCTTGGGACCTCACACAAGGTGATTCATGAACCTCCTGGGTGATGAAATCAGATATCTATTTCCTCAGAGAAGTTGTTGAAAAGTCAAACTATGTCTGAGATTTTGTCTCTGAAAATCTTACCTTAAAGAGTACAGCTAAACCATTGCTAATGAAAGGAGATTTAAATATATGCTTTTAAATTAAAGGCCAGAATTTTTTTTACCCCATTTAAAATTGAAAAATTTCAAGCCCTACAATTGGCCACATAGTAGGTGGTCAGTAAAGCCTTGCTTAAAAATAAGGCAAAACCTTACTATTATCACCAATGGTTTCATTGTAGATCAGGCTCAGACATCTTTCATATGGCTCCTTGGGCCAGGATTCTCCTATTTGTGACAGCAGAGAGTGTGAGTCCAGATTCATTAGAAACCATTTAATTAAGTTTGTCTGAATCTGTTATCCATCTCAGATAGATTTTTAGAAAAGGACCCTGACTGTAACTTTGACTAAATCATCATTAGTAAGTGCAAGTGAAAGATTTCTCAAAATTGAGCCCTTTGTAACCTTTAGTTAATCATCAGCCCAGGTGTGCTGATTCTGCTTTTTAGTTTTTAATTGCACAAGATGGTCAATATTGTGCATGTGTCTCTATTAATATTTAAGAAAGAAAGACAAGTTTGAAAGGAGACATTACTTCTTCCAAAGGAAATTCATCTCATCAGAAAAAAAATAGTACTGGTTTATTCTTTTTCTTCATTTATTGGAAAGCTTGAAAAAAATAGTGAGAAAAAGTTCTTTAAACTATTTAAATGAGACAGATCTTTTAACTATTTTTTCCACTAAGAAACATTTTGAAGACAAAAGAAATATGCTGTCGTTAGTGTAACTTTAGTACTCACTGTACTGACCGTATAGATTAGAAATGAAGGGACTAGCAGATAGATCTCAGCCCCATTAGATATGTTTCACTCATCCAATTTGGAAAATGTGGCTGGTTTTGGCTAGTTGATTCATCACTGGCTTACCAGCACTCAAAAGGAAACCTCTGTCATATAAGAGATCCAGTTGTTTAAACTGTAGGTTGGAAGCCAGGTACCAATGTAAGCCTTGGCAGGCTTACATGAATGTGAAAAGTTGGGGGCAGGCTTGTATCAAGAAAGGCATTAGAAAGCAGAGAGAAGCATGGATATCCCTTACAGCAGTAATATGCTCCCTGGCTACTTTTCTCAAGGTGGATAGGGTAGTGGTGCTCTGGAGGGACCACTGTAGTCCTGTATAGCTCCAGGTATATTTCTGAATATCAAGTACTTCATTTGTCAAGCAGGTTAATAATATAAATATTATCTTCCTAT